TGATCGATTGTCGGCTGGCTCCGACATGGGATACCAGGGCAGACTCTGTCACTGAGACACTGAGAAATACCCTTTCCCAGGGCCCCGTCCTCCCCGGGACCACAGGTCATCACAGGTGCTCTGCGCCTATACTGCCTGCCTTCACGGGAAAGTGCACCCCACACACGCCTTCAGTGCCCCCAGTACCACGTCTCACGGAACTCTGTGAACAGTCTGCCGTGAATTATTTCCACCTGTTACTTACCTCTCCCCAGATGCCGACTGTGTCCCGGATGTCATTTTTGCAGTACGAAAGCTGCCTGATGCAGTTGTTGACGGCAACACTACTCTTGCCAGGGGCGAGGTCCTCCTCTGCCATCTCCACCCAACCCAGAGAGCGCACAGCAAAACACTAGGAGAAAAGTCAGAGAGCAGGAGGTTAGTCATTGGCCACCGGTCAACTTACACTAAAACCCTCTACAAAGTGTGCTGACTGTGCCCTCAATTACTACAAAATGTCCAATCATCTAATTTAGTAACTAGCCCTCGATTGTTGGAAAATGAAATTGTGGCTATTTTTTGCTATTAAAAATGTGCTTTCATGAGAATTGGTCTTGGCACCATTAGCACCAAATCCTGAAAAGCCTGCAGAGTGGACCAACCTGTGAGATACCTTAGCGCACACGTTCCATTCATTCTTTTGTCATTGAGAGATACTGATTTGAGATCATGCTCCTTATCCTCCTCTTAAAAGTTCAAGTATTCATTTTTTCAAAAAAAATTAAGTACCATATGCATATTGTAACAAGTGAAAAAATCCAAAATTGTACAAAGAAATTCATGGGACATGAGAGGGCGATCTGGCAACCACATCTGCCTAGCTGTTAATCGCCAGGGCTGCCAGGTGCCTGGAAGTGGGGTCTCTCATTGCAACCTGCAGTCCGGGGCCTCCCCAAGGCTGCATATCAATTGAAGAGATCACCTTCCCCAGGACAGGAGAGGCAGACAAGGTGCCACACTTCTGTGGAGCCAGGAGGCTGGGTCTCAAATAGCATCTTCTAAAGTTTCCAAAAGTGAACTTCATAAAAAGTGAAGAAATGCAGCAAACGGTCCCAAAGTGACCACATTCAACCTAATTCAACCTTCACCATCTCAACCCCCACACCCAGACTAGGTGCCTCCTTCCTGAATTGCTAATCACACTTTCCCGGGGGGGGGGGGGGGAACTACCAAAATACCAAAGACGACCTAGTTATGCTAACAGAACGTGGATCCTCCCATCCTTGTGGGGGACAACAGAACCTGGGTAACCGCCTGGAGCGGAGCAGCTCCCGTGCGCCGATGGGCACATGATGCCCTTTACAAACAAATACGCCATGAAGAGAGGGTCATCCCTGCAGCAACTGCAGAAGCTAGGCAGGACCCTGCGTCCCAGGGAAAGGTCCTGGGAGACACCCTCACATTTCAACTGCGCGTGTGCATCTGCTGCAGAGAAGCTGCTCAAAGGGAAGAGGATGTCCACAGGTACAACGGCTGCCCCTTCTGCAGTTCTGCTCCCTTAGCCCTGTGACCAAACTGCTCCTCCGGGGGGACATGTCAGAAATGCCACCGGTGCACAGCACAGCACAGCACAACCGCACAGGCCTCCGCCCAGAAGCACTCATTTTCTGCTCCCTCCAGGGGGCACCGTGCAGCTAAGGAATCTCCCTTCCTTGCTGGTTCCCAGCATAGTCCCTAGTGGGTAAAATCACCATGCCACAACCTACCTTGACCTGCAATTTTGATCGTGTTACCCATCTTATAATGGGAAAATTCAACTTTTCCACCTTCACTAAATATGTGGAGGTTTTCCTCCATACCAGCAAACTCCCTTTATTTGAGAACATTTATTCTATCCTGACCCCTCTGGAAAGTAGAAAATAATCACAGCACATCTGTACCACCTGATACAGCCAAGAAGGCATTGTTCAAATGTCCAAAGGTATGAATTCATTTACTTCTCACCTCAATCCTGAGAGCTCAATACTAAGTTACCATACCCATTTTATAGATAAGGAAAGTGAGTGAAGCACAAGGTTGATAAGTAGTGGACCCAGGATTCAAACCAAGCAGTCTGACCTCTGGGTCTGACCTCTCTTAACGACCCTACCATACGTCTGTTACCTCCCTGGGGGGAAAGCATCCAATGGAGCCAGGCCCACGACACAGGCTCAAGAACACAGCCAGTGATGTCAATACAGTTTGAGTGTATGCAGCCCAAGAGCAGGGACAGCCTAAATTAAAATCTTAGCCCTGACTTACAGGTACTGTGATCTTGGCCAAGTAACTAACAAAGTCTTAATTTTTTTTTTAATTTGCAAAAATGGAAATAACAGTGACAGTTACCTCAGAGGGTTCTCATGAGGAAAAAACAATATAACACAAGTAGAGAACCTAGCACCTAGAAAACACTCAATGAACACTTGCCACGTGAAAGAGCCAACAAATACGGTGCCATGTACTTCTTAACGGGGAGTCGTCAAAGGGGGGAACGAAAGGAGACTTGTCATTAGCGTGACCCCATGTTCCAATTGTCCATCGGATGGTTCTGGTTCGTGTTTGCTGTTCTGGCAAAAGTATCAAAAGCAGCTCCTTTTACTCTCAAAAGTGTCCTCGTTTGCATAATAATTTCTGGCATGGAAACCAAGGCTTGGATGGGATACTGAGAAATGCCCAGGTGGAAACCAGGTGGAACCAGGTGGGTTCAGGATCAGCAGAAGCTGCTGTCAGTATGGCATCCTGGTGACCCTGGGGGGTGGGTGAGCCCAAAGACACCAGTATTACTGTGGGGTGGTCCTACGCCCTAAAACTAGAAGCCAGGGACACATCTCCCCACTTTCTCTAACTGCCTACCACAGAACCCTACAGCCTGTAAATACTAAATGAATTTATTAACAATAAGGAAGGTGAAAAAGAATACTGGTTGCTTTTCGTCCCTTGAGTCCAAGAGCACCTGGGTTTCAATCTAAACAAGCTCAGTAAAATCAGTGGTATTTCTGTCGGCTGAGAAATGCCAATGGCTAACTCCACGACAGCACATTAAGTGTACTGTTTCCTCATGCTGATAAAAAGGAAACAAGAGCCCTCCCGATATAATGAATTTACGCAAATTTCCGTATGTAATTCTGCTGTTGTAATTTAGTTTCTGATCTGAAAAGCTTCACCACCAGTCCCTGTGGCCAAAGAAAGAGGAAACAGATGTATGAAGGCGGTAGGGGAGGTGGGGGCAGAATCGAGCTTGACCAAGAGTGAGATCCATTTTCTGTCAAAGAACCAAGTGGCATAGAGTAACCTGTGCTATTTGGTGCTGCCCCCGTGTGGCCAGGAAGGTTTATGACCACCATTACTTTTCCTTAAATTGGGGAAATAACACCAAGCGGAACAGCTCTGGGAATAAACACTCACGCCAGAGAACGGGAGAACTCAAAGTATTCAATGAAAATATGTAATCAAAGATTTAATCAATCTGCCTTTTAAAATTTTTTTTTCCAGTTTTGGAAAAAAAAAGTCAACATTTACACTTTGATTGATGCTTATTCTTCAATAGCTCTTTTCCGAAAGTGCAAAAATGAGTAACAAATGGTTCAGGGTATGGACTGTGCATCAGATGGATTTCAATTCAAATCACGAGTTCGCTACCTACTAGCTTAGGACTTTGGGGAAGTCACTTTAGGTCTCTAAGGGTCCGTTTCTTCATCTGTAAAATGGGAATAATGATCTTACCCTGCACTTCATAGCACTGTCGTCGGGACTAAGTGAGATGACGCAGGTTAAAGCGTTTAGCACAGCGCCTGGCAAGTAATAACTCAATAAACATTTATTATGCTATTTTGATAAATTTTAACTTTTTTCTGTGTGTGGATTTTAAAGATTTCTCTAGTTTAATGGATCTCAGACAAAGCTAAAACACCCAGAGGGCTTTGTTAAAACACAGAAAAGTGGACACCATTCCCATAGTTTCTGATTTAGCAGGTCTGGGCAGGGCCTCCAAATTTGCATGCCTAACAGTCTCCCAGGTGATGGCTGAAACTGCAGGCCCGGGGACCACACCTTGGGGACCACTGCTGTAGACAGAATGACCCCTTCCTTACTCAAAGTCATGCTATTCCTACGATGGGTCCTGAAAGGAAAATCTGGGTTCAAATCCCAGGACTGCCACTTACTATTTGTGATCCAGGGCAAGTTAGTTAACGTCTCTGTGCCTCAGTTTCCCCATCTGTAAAATATGGACATTAAAAATATCTGTCTCACAACAATCTGTCACGTGCTGTGAGGATTAACCGGGCAGAGTTTGCCGCCATGAGTTATCTCGGGCATTTAGGTGCCCAGACACGGCCAGTGCTCTGTGTAACTACTGAGGGATGAGGACAAAAAGGAAATGACACGAGAATTTATGGCAACACTAAACTATAGATATTAAGAAACTAAGAAAGGTCACAGAGAAAAGCTACAATTTGGTCTAGCACTATAAATGTAACCCTGCTGAACATGCATTTATAGACTTGCTTACCATTTAAACCTACTTACCCTGCAGCACAATAACACCTGTGTATTCATGTCAACATTTATTGAGCACCTATTTGTTCCTGGAGACAGAAATGAGCCTGACACGGAGAAGACACAAAGCGGGAATCTATGACACGGCAACAAGAAATAAGGGGACACAGAGGCACACAGATGTGCTAGTGGCTCCAGGAAGGAGCAGTCTTTTAACTCGGAGAAAGGGAGCTATGGACAGCTTCCTGAAGAATGTGGCACTGAGCTGAGCTTTGTAGGATGGATGGGTTCATTCATTTAACAAAGATTTACCGACACCCGCTATATGCCAGGTACTGGAGGCACAGCAATGTACCAGACAGTCCAAACGCTCAGCTCTGAGTAGTATTTCAAAAAGCTGGAAGGGCGTATTCATTTGTCTGTGACACCAGAGGTCACACAGCTCCACTGACATGAACCATGAGCGAGGCATAGTGGGATGTGGGCAAGGGGAGCAAGAGCACACTGATTTAGGGCCCAGGTTTTCAAGTCACTGACCTGGGGGACAGCCAGGAAAAGGTGGCTACTATTTTCGCAAGGTCTCTGATCTCTGTCATAAGCGTCAGGATTGGGGAACACCACCAACAGTCAGCCAGTCAATCCTGTTTTGTTTCTGCAGCTAATGATCAAACATCATGGGTGGCTGGGGGTGAGGAGAGGCCCTGGGGCCTGGTGAGGACGGATGCTCAGTCTTCAGGCTGCGTCCTTCTTATCAGCCCACCTAAGAGTCCACGGACCTTGGAGATCCATGGATAGGCTTTAGGAGGTTCTAAATATCCTGAAAATATATCCAAAATTATGCATGTATTTGCATAGTATGGAAAGAGGATCCAAAGC